GTTCTAGTGAATAAAATGTACAATTTGAATATCTTAAACAAAAGAAAATGACTTCATTAGTGTTCAGTATACGCGCACAAACAAACAAATAATTTCTGTACAAACAGGGATGTGTGGTTCTAAAAATAACTTAAGACTCTTGCCCACAGATACAAATTAAGCGCGTGGTTTCAGACTAAAGTGGGTGACCAATAGGGTGGGGCGACCTGTTCCCACAGAGGAATTCGCTTCTAGTCACGGTTATTAGATGGCTAGACCAGCAAGGCAGGGGGGAGGGGGATGGAAGCCCGGTCAACTAACATGTGGTTGAGATGACTGGACAGGGAACGAGCTTTTTAGAAAACAAAGGGCACGCGACCCCGACCTGAGGCAAGCGAAACGGGAGCAGTAAGATAAGAAAACGCCACCCCTACTGGAGAATAGTCAGCTTAATCATAATAAATAATTCCTTGTCTTAAGAAGGTCAGTTGCAGCTAGACAACTGTTTTCATAGAGATAATCGAATATAGGCCTGCGTAAATCTGTCGGAACGGACCTAGATTATTTTACTGCTATCTAAACACCTTCAACTACAGCCCGATAGAAACGAAATAAGATAGATAGTTTAACATTTTCTGATTCCCGCCCGTCTGACCTTATTTTAAAAAAGGGTTATGAAAAATCAAAAAGTTATCAGAAATATTCCTAGCGGTTAGCGTGTTCGGACTGAGAATCCGAAAATTCCACGTTCGTGACTCGCTGTTGCCCTTCTGGGCCATGGGTACTTTATGAGCATGACTTATGTTCAATTAGACAATAGTAACGTAAGAGTTGAGGTAGGAGCTGTTGACTAACTGCCTCTTAGTTCAGAATTAAGTATGGTTTTAGCCTGTGTGTAGCTTAGTTATCGTTAAACAAACACAAAGTAAAACTGGAAACAATAAATGTATAGAATAATTCTAAAAGATATGTATAGTCTAACAGTAACAAAATTCTTCACCAAAAAGTGTGTGAACGTTGTAGTGATTTGTTGAGTTCTTTAAAATTAAAGTTCACGTAAAACAAGTATATTATAATTTACTTGAGTATTAAACAACACGATCTCTGGTATAATCGTATAATATAATATACAAAAATTAAACTAATTTTCTCTTGTATAAGCACCAGAATAACACGAATGGAAGTTAGAAAAACTAAGGATCACGTCACGATATACTAGAGTTATATCATACACAAATAAAGAAGTTCGATTTCTCATTGCACAGAAAATCAATATTTCTTATTGGTGTATTTGCATGTTTTACAAATACATATAAGGGACGGGTAACTAGTATATGATAAAAAGCATCATAAAGTTAAGGAAACCAGTGTCTGGTTAAATAAATCCGAAACATAATAGGAAGTTGAAATTAGCCAAGTTTATGTTTCTCTCCATATTCTGTCTTTAACCAGATCTATCAGGTAGGTACTTTACGAACTCCAACTTTAACCAGATTTACGAGATGGTAGTTTACATACTCCGACTTTAACCAGATTTACGAGATGGGACATTACATACTCCGACTTTAACCAGATTTACGAGATGGTACTTTACATACCCCGACTTTAACCAGATTTGCGAGATGGGACTTTACATACTCCGACTTTAACCAGGTTTACGAGATGGGACTTTACATACTCCGACTTTAACCAGATTTACGAGATGGTACTTTATATACTCCGACTTTAACCAGATTTGCGAGATGGTACTTTACATACTCCGACTTTAACCAGATTTACGAGATGGTACTTTACATACTCCGACTTTAAACAGATTTACAGTGTAGGTATCAAACTAAAGAACCAGTACCTGACTTCATGTGTATGTAGAAAATCTTTATCTTTAGACTCTTAATTCGAAAAGTTTTTAACAGATGGACTATCAGAAAGAATGAGATTGCATACAATGACCCTTTCTCCTCAATTCTGGCTTATTGTCAAAAAAAGTATCACCAAGCTTCCTTTTCATATTTTCTGTGTTCCAGTTACTCAGAAACGAGATGACAGGGAGTTAATGGCTACAAAGGAAAGGTGTGTTCAATTACAAGTACATCAAAATTGGCCGGAAGATAATTTTCATAATTATATCTGGTCTGTCTCAGACTGACCTTGTTGGAGCCATGAGTTTCGGGTCAGCTGGAAAGAACTGGATCTAGTCAACAAGCAGACACGTGATATTGGTGGCACTGACACATTTCTTGCGATGAGACTAGCAGATTTGTCTGGCGATAACGAGATGTTGCAGAGCACTTTGTGGGGAATGGAACTATTTTTGACTCACCTGAATTCCACATAAGAGAAATCAAAATACTTAATAATGCTAATAGGTCAACACGTAGCCAATAGCGCAAATAAAATAGGCAAGAGGAACCAAATATTTTTTGGTAAAAGTTGTGGAATGTAGCATGAGAATAACTATCACCAGAGGGCTAAATACTAATATTAAACCTAACTAGAATTAACTTAGTGTGCCGCAATCGGCATCATTTGTCATTACTTGATGGTTGACTTTAACATTATATTTCATGTATTTTTCTCAGTAACCTACATTAATTTTCTTTTAATTAAGCTAGTTGCCCTTTACAGATATCTCTAGATTATCTGCGTTAACATAATCTTAACATGACGTGTCATCATGGTTGAAACAAATAAGCCTGCAACCATGTCAACGGGAAAAGAAAACAGCACTTAGTTGGATGATTGTGAGAACAATGAAGGATGCGGGGAGATCAGAGTAATGAGTGTCACAATTTTTTCATGTATGTATGTATGGGCAAGATTCTTTTCAGTAGGTATCTGTAATTTGTTGCCGAAAAATTTCAGCAATAAAACGGACAGTACACAATCCACTTGTTTCAAAATAATATATTCAAAACTAGCTGGAGTACCCATCCTCTGGACGGACGTTATGTAAATTCGTGATTAATGAAATATTATCTTAGGACATGAAAAGTTGTTTTCCCTATATGTAATTGTAAAAAAAAACAAAAAAAAACACCCAAATACGCACATAAGAACTGCACAACAAAAAATGTGAAACTGTAACTTTGTATGTATCTCCCCATGGACCCAATGAGCTTCAATTTGGTGAAGATCCATCCACAGTAGGTGGGATAGTAGTAAAAAACGCCCATAAAAACCGCAAAATGCAAAACTAAAAAATTGTATGTATCTCCCCATGGGCGCAACGAACCTCCATACCAACGTTTGTGAAGATCCATTTACAGGGGAGAAGTAGTGGTAAAAAACGCCCATAAAAACTGCAAAATGCAAAACTGTACTCCCGGATGGATCTAATGAACCTCCACAACAGTTTTGGTGAAGATCCATCCACATCCTGCGAAGTAGTGACATGGACATACAACAGATAGTACTATTATATTTATATAAAAAAAGTCAAACGTATGTACAAAAATTCGTTACACTATTTGTTATCACAGTTGTATTCGGAGCCTTAATTAATTGTCTCTTTTTTTTCGCCAAAGTCCACATAGGCGGGTTCAATTACTTTAGAACACCCTTTGGCAAGAATTATTCTCCTCTACTCAGTTATCATAATACAATCAGTGATGAATTCACTAACGTTACCCGGTCGGTTACCACAGTCATATTCAGATCGTTGAATAATTATCTTTTACTTCAAAAGTCTATACAGGTTGCTTCAATTACTTTAGAACCCAACAGACAAGACGAATTATTATTCTCTACTCTGTTATTACAATACAATCTTCGATTATTACTCTTTAAAAGTCGCCACTATACACTCTTTATGGCTAAACTTATAAACACAGTCTACATCTATTTGATTATATCTCTCACTAGCTTTGTCTTAATTTCACTAACTTACTTACTTGCAGAAACTTGGTCGCCTATATATATATATGTTGCCCGACTGAAGCCTAGAACTTTTTGCAAACTACCAGACACTATGATGTAACAATGCTCACTTAAATCAACGAGAAAAATTTAGAAGGTTCGAGTAACATGACGTCAATTCACAACAACTGAGCTACATAAAACTACTGAATCTCGTAAAAAGTATGTACCTCCACAAAATCCAATTATATAGTACCTTCTTCCCGTAGGATCTGATAAGAATTGCATTTTATCTACAGAATCCGATAAATAAGTATCTTCTAATAATAATACCTTCTTCTCGCGAGACGCAATAAAAGAGTATCGTCTCTGCATGAAATCAATTTGAAAATGTTTCCATCGAATCTATTAAAAAATTACCCATTAAGAAAACATTTCCCTTCATATGGAATCCAGTAAAACGATCCTTTCTTCCATAGAATCCTGTCTTTTGCCGACAGAATTCGACTTAAAAAAAGGACCTTCTTTTCACAGAATCCAGCAAATGTAAAGAAAGAAGAAAATATGTATGTAACATATTGAAGAATTATTGAAACATCATTGTAAATGTAATAAGATCAGAGAGGTGTTGATATTAGAAGACAACACAAGAGGACGCACGAATCTGTCGAAACTAGTTTCTACAATATCAACATTCATGTTCCAATTACTGAGGTTTTCCAAAATGCTACACATGAGGTTGTGTTAATTTAAAATTTGTGGTATTTTATTTCTTATTTATTTGTTTTCATCTAATTTCCTGTATATTTGTTTAGTTTGGTGTTATTCGTTTCCCCATAGTTTCTGTTTATTTTGCCTTTAGTTTCGTGTGTACGTTTTCCACGATGAAGAAGATTCGCTTCCAATATATGTAGGTTTAGGTTGAAAAACAAAGCATTGCTCAACATCATATGTAGGATTATATTAAAAATAAAGATTGCTCAAATATATATATATATATGTTTAGGTTGAAAAATATAGCATTGCACAACAATATAGGTAGGTTTAGGTTGAAAGACAAAGCATTGCTCAACAAGATATATAGGTTTAGTTTGAAAAATAAAGCATTGCTCAAAATATGTGTAGGTTTAGGTTCAAAACAAATCATTTCTTAACAAGATATATAGGTTTAGGTTGGAAAATAAAGCATTGCTCAACAATATAAGTAGGTTTAGGTTGAAAATTATAGTATTTCTAAAAGTATACGTAGGTTTAGGTCAAGATATATAGCATTGCTCAACAATATAAGTAGGTTTAGGTTGAAAATTATAGTATTTCTAAAAGTATACGTAGGTTTAGGTCAAGATATATAGCATTGCTCAACAATATATATATAGGTTTAGGTTGA